CCGTTCGTTCACCATACAAATACGCTACAGTAAATTAAAACTACATTAAAACATTACTAAAAAATGTTTGCCCCCCCCCCCCTGGAAAGTTAATTAAAACTACATTAAAACATTACTAAAAAATGTTTGCCCCCCCCCCCTGGAAAGTTAATCGATTTTTGCCCCCCCCCCCAGAAAGTTTTCTGCGAGCGCCCATATGCAAGCCAATATACTACGTGATCAGCAGGGGAAAAAAAAATCAAGCCCCAACCCTTGATCGTTCACAGATTCATGTCATATTTTTTCTAGACATAAGTATTTCCCTATATTACCTCGGTTTACTGAAATGTAAGTTTTAGCTGTTACTTTTACGATTGAAACAATTTTCGAAGTCGAGGTATCAAGAAGAGAATTCAACGGTAAGGCGAGATCTGAAGGTAAAGTTGTAGTAAATGAATAAGCTTGTTCTGGTGACACCGATGATTTTAATTGGATGAAAGTGGCCGTGGGCCGTTTATGATGACAAAGTCTGTGTTTTATTATTATTTTTTTTCCACATTGTTAGTATATGTCTTTATTTTAACATTTAACATTCATACCAGTGTTGTAAACCGGTGTATAGTAACGAATTTCTTGAAAAGACGTTTTTTTTTTTTTTAAAATTCAAAATCATTCAATACATATACAGAGTAAAACTAAAATAATTACAGGCAAATTTTCTGAAGTTTGAACTGAACAAAATGTTAACATTAAAATAGTGTGTACTAAATGGAACATTTGTGTAAATGACTAAGTATGTGTTTATACGATTGACTGGCTGTAACAACATGCGGATCGCAGGTTGTGTACACTAAGACACTAGTCATATCTATCCCCGGCCTTCTGTTGTCTCTGTTTTGATAATTTTCATTTCTCTGAACCACTTAATTGAATGCGTTTCATCTTGTTTGGTTCTAGGAGTCTAATAAATGGTATAAATTAAATTTATAAAGAAATTGATATTTCTGTTCTTATTGTTTGAATCGATTTGAGGGAAATTAAACTATTTTTTTTAAGAGTTGCCTCCCCCTTAATATTATACCATAACGAAGTGGCTATGGGTACCCGAGTACCCATCGTCGCCAATGACTATTCGCACCCAAAAGTCTTAGTAATCGAAAAATAACATGATCCGAACCAGAGGTTTAATAATCGACAAGTTTGCCGCGCTTTCTTTTATAAAAATGGAGGTTGGCAGCATTTTTGACACCTATAATAATAATATAATAATATAACGTTTGGTATTGGTATCTGCTGATTATCCGTTTGGCAAAAGAAGCAGCTATCGAGCACGCACCGTAATACAGCTCGTGGGTTAAAAAGTCTTGATGGTTTGTTTGTATATTTTTGTGGTGCCCCCTTTCTCGTGGTGCCATAAGCACGTGCTTATTTTGCTTAATGTTGGTTAATCCGGGTCTGCATGTATGGAAAAAATAAAATTAGGAGCCACTGGTCCCGAAATAAATATTTTTTAAAGTTCATAATCCCCCCAGTACTTCATTCTGGATAATGAAAGACATGTGTGCCAATGTTGGCCAAGATCCATAATCCACGTAGAAACGAATGTGGAACAAATCCACAAACAAAAAGTGTTATTTTCTAAAATTAAATTTAAACTAAAGTTTATTTTGAATAGGCCCAAATATGTAAACGAATGTGACGCCTGCCAGAGGCCGCCGCCCCCCCCACCCCCCACCCGACCTTGGGTTCACCACTGTTTGCGAGCAATTGAAAAAATAACAACAAACTACCATCATGAATTCCATTCAGCTTTCTTCATTTCAAGAAAACGTTACCCCTGACCAGACTGCAGTGATGTAACTAAAATCAGACTCTGTTCAGTGGAGAGAGGGTCATACACATGAGCTCACTGTGCATGTGTCTTGTCACTTTGAGGACGTCCTTTTTATATTCTTTATTTAAAATAAAATCGGGCATGACTAACCAGGAAGTAGTAATTTGAAGAAAAAAAAAATTTCTTAAGGAAATGTTAGAGGATGCATGGGTTGATGAGTTAACAGGATGCATGGGTTGATGAGTTAACAGGATGCATGGGTTGATGAGTTAACAGGATGCATGGGTTGATGAGTTATCAGGATGCATGGGTTGATGAGTTAACAGGATGCATGGGTTGATGAGTTAACAGGATGCATGGGTTGATGAGTTAACAGGATTAATATGTTACACAATTGAATACTAATATATTGATATTTTGTTTAAGGGGCCACCCATGCATTACGTATGCAATTTGGGGGAGGGGGGTGGTTGTTGATTTTGGACATTTTGCTTAGTGATGTGTGTGGCCTCGGCGGCGTCGCGCCCGAAAGTAGATGTACGTAAAATTATTAACAAATCCTGCAATAATTTATTACCGGTAATTTTCCTGAAATTCAGTCTCGAATATCTTTAATAAAGCCAAACTGGCACCTAAAAAAATTTGCGAAAAAAATATTTTTGAAAAAGGCAATAACTATGACATTATCAACACCACTGTTTCGCAATTATCGTCACACTGTTGCTCAATGTCTTCACAAAAAACTAGCTGGATATCACTATAGTTATATTTAGCTCTAGTACTAGTAGTAGTTTAACCCTCAAATTGTTAGCCTACCCAATTGTTTTATATATGTATATGGACCGTTCATTAGCCACAGGATTTTAATTTTTTCCCCATTTGATGTCATTTACCCCATGTTCGCCGACCTCTATTGCTAAACTGTGGCATACAAATGAAACAGTTGCTTAGTCAGTTCTAACGACTGATACTCTTCCAACTGTCAGTTACGATCTTGTAAAATATCAAAACATTCAAATGACGCTTTCGAACTTAACAAATATAATGTCACCCTGACTTTGCTAATCCAGAGCAGTTCGGAATAAACATTTGTAACCAATAACACCCCCAAAAATAATTTAAAAAAAAAAACAAAATTATTTTAAAAATAATTCACCTTCCTAGTTTTTTCACGGAATGTTGGCACCGTGTGAGATTATTGCCCTTGTGTCAATTTTTTTTCCCCGAGGGGTGGTAATTCTGATTGGTTGTTTCCCTGTCATTATTTTTGAGTAGTCACCTCCCACAAGAGGGGGGGGGGGAATAAAGAAATCAACCAATTTATCGGAGTTCACACGCCACGCAAGAAGCTCGCAAAAAAAAAAAAAATTTCGATCAAATTTCTTTTCAATCAAACTTCCATCGATGAAATTTATTTCAAACAAATTTCCAGATACGATATAAAACAGTTTTCAAAGGTGAGATGCAAGTAAATTTTTGACCATTTAGATACTGTATGTAACATAAAGTCGACGTTACGATTTTCTTTTGATGGAAATCACAGATTTAGTGATGAAACGATTGAGGTAGTAGCCTACAGGTGGTTGGTAAAGCTTAGCAGGGGCCATTTCAGCTAAAATAATAGTGAGCAGTAGCCAAAGTTTAAGAAATAGTACTAAAGACAAAGAGCAGTTCATAAAGTACGTAAGGATTGGGGGGGGGGGGTCTAAGAAAATGTGACAAAAAAGGGGGGAGGGGGGGGGGTAGATCATATGGTTCGGGGGAGGGAGAGGGATGCAGAAGTGAACATTTTTTTTAGAAATTTAAAAATCAGGGAATTGGATATTTTGGCAATTGGGGGGGGGTGGGTCTAAGAAAAGGTGACACAAAAGTGGGGAGGGGTGGGGTTAGATCATATGGTTCGGGTGAGAGAGAGGGATGCAGAGATGAACATTTTTTTTAGAAATTTAAAAATCAGGGAATTGGATATTTTGGCAATTACCAGACTTCCGTTTCTTTTTCATTAATAAACAGAAAAGATGCTTGTAAACTTGAGGGCTCTCTAAAAACCTGGATGTTTTTATATTGATCTACGAAAATGGCTTAAACTAAAAAATAGAAAATAAGAAAGAAAAAAAAATCTACTGGTAATAAGAGAAATTAACAAAGCAAAAATAAAAAAAAAAACAACTAAAGATAGTAAAAACTATGAATCAATGAAATAACAAAGAGAAAAAACAATTTAAAAAAATAATTCTCATGCTATAATTGTTATCACGCCCGGTCCCGAAGCCATTTAATATGTACGGAGCCACTCCGGGTGCGAATAGTCTTTGGTGACCATAGGTACCCGGGTACCTGTAGATGGAGCCATTTTACAATTCTTTAAAAAAAATAAATAAAAAATGTTGTTAGTTATCTTGTTTTATAATTAAAAAAAAACACGATTTATTTCTTTTACCAACTTCTAAAATAATGCAGTCCATATAAGTGCCTGCACGCCCTGCCGGTGCTTAGTGTCACAAAAAAAGTACTGACTACATAATGAACAAAAATACATTGTGATATCTTATTCTTATATTAGAAATTTAAATATTACCAATATTTACTAGAACTAGATTACCGGTGGTACATACTATTTGCTAGATAATTTAGTCTTAGTCAATAGATCTTTTATGTCTGTTTAAAAAAGGTAATTTTGTTTTTACTGTAGGCCTTCTTCATAATTATATTAAGAAGATACTTGCTTCTTTTTTTTTTTTTTAATTGTGAGATCTACAATCGGGTAAGGCAGATGGGCTGAGAGAAGGGGTAGCTCAGGATGTGTTTATAGCCCCAAGAGGATGGTGGCTGAAAAAAGTTTGAGAACCCCTGGGCCTGGACTAGAAGGTGTAATAACTCCTAGGTGTATTTTTTTATATTACTTTAGCCTTAAGAGCATGTGCATTTGGGGGTAGGGGGACTGATGGACGGACGGAATGTTTTGAAAAGCTGGACGGACTTCATATGATACTTTAAAAAAAAAAAATTTTAATCATTATTTCTTAATTTAAGTAAGCCTATTTTCACCAACTAAATGCTTTGCTATCCCAATGGGTTTCCAAAAAGTATTACTTTAAAGTCATTGCTCACACAAATCATTTGGCAGACACACAAGACTTTGACCTTTCTGGCAACCAACTCAATAATCCACAAGGAAAGATGTAGATGAATTCTGATAGCTCAAGCCATCATTTATTGACCGACTTAATAAACACAAAAATTTGTCATAAAATTAATCAGAGTAATTTCCTAACTTGCAGCAAGTTTTACAATTCCAAGTCATGTAAAAAAACATGTCAGCAATTTTTTAAATGTTAACAAACCCCTCAAGTCTGATAGGATATTACTGATGCACTAAACTACTTTTTACTTATGTATGTTTATGTGCATGTTTATTTGTTTATGTATATATCTATATAATATATACACATACACACGAACACAATTTTTGTGCTAAGAATTTGTTAGTAGCATGAAGAGATGCAATGCCTTCTACAACATAAAAGATTTTTAAAAAAAATGAATTTTTAAATGAAACAAACGCTGTTTTATTTATGTTTTAAAACAAGGAGAGGCAGTACTTTGAACAAGAAGCTACATTGGATAATATTCAATAGTTTTATTATTCTAATAAAATGTGTTGCTTCAAAAGAAGCCTTGAAATAAATTGTCTTATGCCATCGTGATTAACAACTTTTGAAAGTTAATCCATGGAAAAATTACTTTCACCGACATAGTGTTGATACCGAAGGGAGTTTATCTTAAATTTAACCATTTTAAAATATCGTAATAAAACATTTGTTTGTAACGTCATTTTTTATCTCTCTCTTTCTTAATTTTTAAGCGAGTTCAAAATAAATATTTTGTCTCTAAAAAAAATATGCTAAGTACAAAGTTTTATCCAATGCCTGCATTTTATTTCATGTTGTTTCATGGCACGTATCAGTTCAGTACTTTCCAAAAACAATGTAACGATAATTGAAAACCTATTTTCTTACATATTCGTATAGGCCTACCCATTTGGAGAATTTTTTATTCTTTTTTTCTTCCTCTCTTCCTCTTTTCCATTCAAAGCTATCAAATATCAAAACAAAGTCAACATAATCCAGTTGCCAAACTAAAAATCTAATGCCGTAATGTATTTGTTGTTTAGTTAAATTCTCCTCTGATGCCCCACAGAAAAAGTTTAGTGAGTCTGTGCACCGCGTCTTCTTTCATAAAGAAAAGTGAACAGTATAAAAGCAGCTGACCCCAAACCGAATTATTTAAAGACTACAGTGTGTAACATGGCACCGAGACACTGAACTATGTTTTTTGTCATCACAACATTGACCTCCTCCTCCAGATGGCGCTTTGGATCTTGTTTGCCAACATGTTTGATGGCCAGCTGCTCAGGGGTCATAGTTTCCTCCTCTTCCAGTGCCTGTAGTAACAGTAAGTATCATTATACTTGTTCAATGATGTGATAAACTTATACAGATTCAAACTGCTGTTATTTTTAAGTAAAGCTTTACTAAATCTTTACTCATTTTATTTTTTACTAAATCTTGCATTTTTTCTACCAACCAAACTAAAGTGATTTCTTTTCTCCTCTTCCAGTGCCTGTAGTAACAGTAAGTATCATTATACTTGTTCAATGATGTGATAAACTTATACAGATTCAAACTGCTATTATTTTTAAGTAAAGCTTTACTAAATCTTGCATTTTTTCTACCAACCAAACTAAAGTGATTTCTTTTCTCTCCCATTTCAGTTAGCAAGAATTTAAGGACAGAGACATATTTTTTCTTTCACGCCAGTGCAAGTTAACTCAATTTTTCATCCCCTGTACAGATTAAATTAAAAAAAATTTCTTGCCAAATTATACCTTATGATAGTTTTTAGCCAGCTCCAGCATATCGCCAACAGTTTTCTCATTGAGGGAACAGTGTTCAGAATAGTCTTGTAGCTGCAGTCCATCCACCCAGCTCTTTTTGTGGAGATTCAATAACATCTGAAATATAAGAAAATTTCACAGTCAGTGTATAGTTAAAGCAACTAATGCCATCAAGTAAGGCTTTTAGACAAGGATATTAAAATAATATGTCTTTCAGAAATCTTCTTCTTCTATATATTAAGGGCCCACGATCAATTTACTGATCATTTTGGCTCCTATTCATGTAGAGGGGATTTGCAATGTTTCTGTGCCTGGTGTTGATGAGGATATTTCACTGGTTGCAAGGGCTACTTTGTGAGGGTATCAAGCACTAGGGGTTGGAAGGCCTTAGGCAATAGATGGAAATGTGACAAGTGTTGTTGCCTCAACTGGTCCTTTTGAAAGCTTGTTCCAGTCCCTGATTGTCTTTGGCAGGAATGAGCAGTTTCTATACTGGCTTCTTGCTGGTATGAGCCAGAATTGCCTGTCATGGCCTCGTCGCTGTCTATGGGGGAGAGGGACGAGTTTCTGTTTAATGTTGGAGCAGTGGACCAGCTCATTATTTATCTTATCCGGAAGCTGATATTGTTCATTTTTCAAAGACAGACGAAAAGTAAACTATATAGTATGTGATAGATCCACTGTTCATATACAGTAGAACATGGATTATCCAAAATGCCGGTTAGTTGGACCGCCCTTATCTTTTAAAATTATTATTTTCATATGCAATGCGCTTGACATGGAGCTATTAGCATACAAACACCGGAAAACAATGCCGACCCATGTCACACAATCCAGGTAGAATCTAGACAACATATTGTACATGCATTGAGGGGCATTGACCAGAGGGGTATAATGCAATCTACAAACTTGTTATTAATATATTTAATAATAATAAACAAAGAGACCTCAGATTTTATTCTAAGTCCCAGTCATCTCTTTTTGGAAACGACCTCTTTTTGCTTAAAAAAAAAAAAATCCAGTTCTAATGGGTTTCAAGACACCAATAAGCCAACCTCATTACATTGCCAGAAAAAGGAGACTTTCTATTCTATGCATCAAAGAACCTTCCTGCTGGAGAGTCGGGTTATCTGAACCACCCCCTGGTCCCCATTGGTTCGGATAATTCACTCTCTACTGCTATCTGTTTTGGAAATCAAGTTATAATTACCTTTTGTTCCAATTCATTCTTTCTGTAGTTGATAGCAATGGAATAATAATGTCGATTCAAACCATGAATGAGTGCCTATGGATAAAGTTAATAACTTTTTTTGAGAAAAAAAATCAAGTAAACAAAAACATAAATTAATATAAACATGCATTCAATGCTCCAAATGTATGTTCTATCACATAAATAAACAGTTTAACAATCAAAAAGCATCTGGTTTTATAATAAACTATTTATCAGCTTATTTTCTTGGGTCTTTCTTTAACTTTTCAACCCCATAACTGCCAAACCAGGCCGGTGCTGATTCAGCCCCCAAGATGACCTGATCTGGTCACTCAACACTCTGTTTACACGCTGCTATGTGGAAAACAGAAATCTGGCCATTCAAAGGAAAATCTCGCTAGAAATGAGACCAAGAGATTACTGTTGTTTTTTTATTTTTATTAATTGGGTGAGTAGTTTTCATTATTTTAAAAGGTGATTTTTTATCTTAGCGATTTAATGTTATGATAATTAGTAGTCAAGTACTTCGTCAAAAATTGACTTTTAAGAATTTACACAACAAAAGCATTGGGAAATAATGTTACACGAAATATAAAGTAACCCTTTATGAATGCAAATCAATTTATTTCATATAAATATACTGTTAAATAGATTTGTTAAAATTTTTTTTTCTAAACCTTTATACAGTAAGGGTGGAGCTCTTCCCATTGGCTGGGGTTTCAAATGATAACATTTATGAGTGCCCAGAATTGAATGGGTTAAGAATATTGGAGCAAAAAAAATATCTTGAAGAAAAAAATAAAACAGTATTTCCCCCACATAGATAATACATGAATGGATTAGTTTTCTGTGCAATTTGTTAACTAATGTTGAATAATTAAAAAAGAGACATGCATGTAAAAATAAATATACATACCTGAATAGAAGGTTTGTTGAGATGACCCAAATTAGATGTTGTCTGTCTAGGTTCCTGACCAAGAACCATCATGTTGGGGTTGATAAGACGGAAGGCATCTATGACAACCTATGACAAGTTAAGTTGAACTAGATGACCTGATTTATATTTTTTACTGTTACTTTTGAAAAAAACAGTCACAAAATAAAAATAATTTATCAATACAACTTCACCACACGTTGACCTAACGATTGTGAATCAACTGCTTTTTGATAAGTATTTGTACCTTTCCTTTAACACTTTGTATGGGATCCACTACAACAGCTACGGCCCTCTCAGACAATGCTTCAAAACTCTGTTGTGTGTTTATATCTACACCAGACAGCCAGCAGCCAAAGCCGGGGTGAGAGTGATACCAACCAACTACCATCTCAGGCCTGAAACAATTGGTTATTTAAATAAGTTTTTATTTAAAAGTCTCGCCTATTTCATAAAGAACTTAAATTGTGGTGACATAATTTTTAAAATTGGGTTTGCAACATTTATAACTTAAATAAATAAATATATTTTTTCAAAAAGGAAAAATATTCGTTGTACTTAACATAACAACTAAGGTATCTGAATGCTAGGTAACACTGGTATATTAATCATGAAAATAAAAAAAGTAAGGACAAACAAAAGTACAATCACTACTTAAAAATAACAAGTGCAGTTTGATGTAGCAAGAAATTGCACATAAAAATGATATTCAAAGTTTTAGGGTCATTCAGATTTTAAAAAAAGGAATTAAAATGAGAGTGCAATCATAATACTTATTTGTTGTTTTTTTTAAATTTCAATGTTGAGACTGATAACTTTTTTTTTTAAACGATACATTGCAGCCATGAACATCACAACTCTAATCTGAAAGGGATAAATTTCTGTGTTTTGGTAGCTAATATGAATTCATTCATGAATAGCTGAAGTGCCAAATATTATTTAAAATGATCTCACCTTCCAGTCTGACGTAGCATATCTAACATTTTAGCTTGAAAAACAGGATCAACAGCTTCTACACTTACACCCTTGGAAAAAAAAAACAAAGTATAATTCAAACTTAAATATCTTTGCAATAAAAACAGTGTTAAACAAAAGTATAAAATCTACTTTATTTATCTTAGTGACAAACTAAACATAAAGATTCTTATACTCTAAACGATAATTTCATAGTGTTACAAGTGATGTAGCAAAAAACTTTTTTTGAAAACTATAAAACTTGACGTGGTGTTCACTTCCCATGATTCCAAATTTTTGGATACTGGTAATTGAGAATGGTAGTACAAAATGAAATCGTAACTCACAGTTCCAGATTGAGGCATGGCAAAAACGTCAATGACACGGACTGTGTAATCATCAACAAACTCTCCCAACATTAAGCCCATCACTTCCATAGGGACGCCTGCACGCCCATGCTTTAACATCTTTGAATAATAAAAAAAAAAAAATGTATTATTTAAAATCTCCATTTTTCTAATTATTTATGAAACCAAAAACAAATGGTAATGTTGCATTGTAAACATTAACAATTTTATTTAGGATTTTTGTAAAAAGAAGGGAATTCAATTTTTTTTTTAAATATAAAAAAGGGCATTTTTACAAACCTTAAGCAAAGCAAGTGATGAAATGTACACTTGTTCTGCTGTATCAACAACAGGTGCATCTGTTGGTGGGCTTCCCTGAAATGAGAAAATCACAGGATGTTACTTGATAAAAACATTAGCTCTTTCTAAACTAAATAAAAAAATAATAAATCATTATTTTGAAAATGCTTCAAAATATCCAAAATAAAAGTTATTAATAAATTGTACACCATTTTAAATGAAGTATGTTTTATTTAAACTTCCTTTAATAATTATACATTCTGAAATTCCAATATTAAAAAAATTGCCAGCATAAATTCCTTCTTTAAGCGGAAAATGTTCAAATTAATAAATTAATTTAAAAACAATTTATAATGACTTCTAAATCATCAGTTCATGAATTTTTGACAAAATGAGAGGAAAAAAAAAAAGAAATTAAAAATCTTTTGAACTAGATATTTTAAAGTATATACTCAATATTGCTTATATGAAACCCAGTTGATAAAGTCATAATATAAAGCAAGACAAAATGTTAAAAAATTAGCATACCTGGCCCAATCCTTGGACTCTGCCACCTAAGCTGAGTAGTCTCTCCATTTAAGCTTATGATGAAAAGGCAGAATAAAATTTTTAAAATGCACAAAAAAACATTCGTGAGCAATAAGTTCATCAATTGGAATGATTAATTAAGCGAATTTACTTTTGTTTGTCTTTAAACTGATGCTCTAACTTTTCTATCTCCACACAACTTACTTGCATGGGATAGTCATAATTAGAATCTAATTTGGCCCACTTTTATTTAATAAGTAGTATCTGTGGGTTCAACCTAAAACTGCGCATAAAATTAAAATTTGGAAAATAACTTTATCTCATCTTAAGATTTCCATATTTCAATTTTTGACGGATCCTTAATTTTCCTATTAGTTAGTTAGGGCATAAATCATATGCTTATACTTATGAAAATACTTGGAAACAAGTTGGCCTTTAGATTTGGAAAAATTTATAATAACTTTTATAATGCAATTGATAAATATATTGCATTTTTTAAAACATTCCATCTTAAACATTACCACGAACTGGTGCAGCTTGAGTGTTGGCACCTTAGGACAAGATTCAATTTTAGGCTGTTTCAGATTTAGCCGCCCACGTTGACTTTGTTAAGGTTAGGCATAGGGATCGATTTAGGGTTCGGGTTTGGCTTAGGGATAGATTTAGGGTTCGGGTTAGGCATAGGGATAGATTTAGGGTTCGGGTTAGGCATAGGGATAGATTTAGGGTTCGGGTTAGGCATAGGGATCGATTTAGGGTTCAGGTTAGGCATAGGGATCGATTTAAGACGTAAAAGTGCGCGCATGGAAATAAACGTGGGCCACTTTCTCTGAATTTACCCAATTTTACACCTCCCTCAACTCTGAAACCCGCTTTTCACATCAATAAAATACCATTAAAGCCCATTTTGGCACCTCCAGCTAGTCTGGCATCAATGGATAACTGTCCCCCTCCATATTGCACCCTCTGACTGCAAAACAACTATTATAGTATTAGTACCTCTACACAGTGTCTGAGTGTGAAAGGGGAACTGGACACTTTGTGTTTTGAAACTGGCCTAATACTCAAAACACTAGTAGACAAGTAACACTAGACTCAGTCATATACTTGTCTTCAGTCAGTAGGTTACATTAAAGAGTTTATAATTTACAAGGGCTTTGCCAGGTTGCTTTTTTTACACTAGGTCCGGATATTGTTAGACAATACCCAGTGGGTCCAAGAGTAAAAAAAAAAAAATGTAACCTTTCATTTTCTATAATATGCAATGAAATCTAGTGCCCTATGAAGTAGTGAGAATGCATTGCCGTTGTCTTGTCATCTGTTTGTGTCAAGAAATAACCCACGAAAGGAACTGACAGCAGCCGGATCCCAGAATAGAGGTGATGTTGTATGCTCGCTGTTTGGCAGAGGAACACAAATAATAAAAACGCTGAATAATAGTCGTCTCCCCTGCCTAAAGAATGTTTTTTTAACCTGATTTCACATGACACTAGTGACAGAATTTTTTTTCACACAATACTATTAATAAAAAACGTGGAAGTGGGGGCAGGGCAGTTCCGAAAAAGAAGCAGGACACACCAGAAGCTACCGCAAAATCAAAATGTATTTAAATTAATAAGAGATAGTCTAGACCAGTGTTTCTCAACCTTTCAAATGCAGCGACCCTTTAATAGAGCTCCTTATGTTGTGGTGACCCCCAGCCACAAATTATTTTCGTTTCTACTTCATAATTGTAAGCATATGTGTTTTCAGTAGGCCTTAGGCGACCCCTGGAAAGGGGTCGTGCGACCCCCAGGTTGAGAACCCCTGGTCTAGACTCTGTAACTGTAGGCGTAGGCCTAATTGCCTATCTTTTTAACTCATCGGTCACCGTTCTCATGTATGAGTTTTAAACAAAAAGGTTTTTAGAAGTACCGGTAGACATGAAGTACCGTCAACTTAGTCTTTGACATAAGCGGCTTTTACTTTATAATTTTAGCATTAGCAGTTTTGTTTTGGGCGAGGAAGACGAAGATCTAATGAGACTCTAAATAATAAATACTCTAATTCTAACAACTTCTCTAAGTCTAATACTAATAATTAATATAATAGTTCCGATAAGGTCGATGGTTTCTTCTAATGTACAGAAATATAATTCAGAATATATAAAACCCAAATATTTTGGAATTAAATAATTTTATTAAATATTTAGGACTAATTATCTGAAAGTTTCATTTTAATTTAATACGCACAATTTATTAGTCTTTCCCTGTTAGTATGGTTGAAAAATACTGAATCACCGGAAGACGCTAGAGTGAGTAAGTCATTAGTAACTTAATTTACAAAAGAGTTGTATTTAAAATCGCAATGATTGGATTTATTCGTCTACGCCTCAAATAATGTTTATTTATAAACGAAACAACGATTGTTTAAAGTTAAAGATGTAATACTTCATTCACTCTAATAATCAGTTCACACTATCACATTTTTCGTCCAATTTTAGTATGTTCGCGCTATTTTGTGTGTGATGTCTTTTTTTGTGGACAAAAGTGAAAATCAGATTGAGATAAATCATAAAATTAAAATACTAATTTGTTTAGATGATAGATCAGATGCCATCTGTCTGAGTCTGCCATGGCGCCCCCAATGGCCATCAATATCATTCAAACGTGTATGCTCCATTGGGGGTCATTGGTAGTTGACAGAAATTGATAACGGCCTGGCCCTGGCTCCACTGGGAGTTTATCAGATGAGATAGAGAAAGTCCTGCTAGTTCTGTTTCTTTCTCATAATAGTCATAGCTCATAACTTTTCAAAAATAACTTCAAATTCCTATTTAAATCAGTTAATAAATTATATTGATAATTTTTTTCTTATTAGTCAAATTTTAGGTAACTCCGATATAGCGTAGTTAATTAAAATAGACTCTAAACAGCTTTAATAAAATACACCCAAAACAGCTATAATAACATAAAATACACCCAACAAAGCTGTAGCTAAAACAGTTTTAAGTTTATTTAAAGCGCCATTCTACTCTGAACCACAACAGACTGTCTAATCACAGATAGTTTTAGACAAGCGTAATCAGGAAGTTCGGAAACATGCCTGGGCACCGAAACTGGTTACTATAGGTAAATTCTTGCAGATATGACGGAAACAATGCACGACTAGTTCCAAATTGTCTTTTCAACTTCCGCTTAGCTCTCATCTCATCCACATGTTTTCAATGTGCTGGGTGCCGATCCCTATTCCGTTTCAAAATTTCACCATTAGGATCCCAACCCCATTGAAATCCAGATTGAGATCCCGATTGGGATTCCGACCACACTGGGATCCCAACTCCATTGGGAACCCTTTTCCAAATTGAATACCATATCACAGTAGGATTCCGACCTAATTCCAATCCATGGGGGTTCCCGATTTTGTTAGATCCCGATCCCAATGGGATCCCGTTACTGGTGGGTTCCTGATCCTATTGGGATCCCTTTTCCCAGTTGGATTCCGCTTTCTGTTGCAAGCCTGTACAGAACCTCACATCTTGCCAGGGACACGCATCGTTTCCGATGGCTGGGCTACATACGCACACGTAGATCAAACCGGACACGGAATATACGAGCATTCTTTTGTTGTTCACGAACGTAATTTCGTGGATCCTGATGACAGTGAAGTGCATACCCAGCATATTGAAAACATGTGGATGAGATGAGAGCTAAGCGGAAGTTGAGAAGACAATTTGGAACTAGTCGTGCATTTTTCCTTCATATCTGCAAGAATTTGCCTATTGTAACCAGTTTCGGCGCACAGGCCTATTTCCGAACTTCCTGATTACGCTTGTCTTGTCGAAAACTATCCGAGATTAGACAGTCTGTTGTGGTTCAGAGTAGAATGGCGCTTTAAATAAACTTAAAACTGTTTTCACTACAGCATTTTTGGGTGTATTTTATGTTACTAGAGCTGCTTTGGGTCTATTTTATTTCATTACAGCTGTTTTTGGGTCTATTTTAATTACCCCGCTATATCGGAGTTTTACCAAATTTTATTTATGAATCTGAATGGGCAGAAGAGCTTTACTGAAGAAAGTTTACTATATTTGAACAATGTGACAATATCCTTCAGAAACGTGTAAGCTGTTTATCTATTATTCTAATTCTATCTTAAGTCAGGTGTGCCAATTTAAAATCTGTAATATATTTAAAGTCAAGTGCTTCTATATTCTAATTTTACAAAATTAGTAAAATAGTGGTTTATAATTATAATATTACTCTAACAATACAATACTGATACTAAGATTTTATGTTTTCTGTGGAAAATATTAAAAAGGATACCTAAGGGGGCTCCACAGAAATACAATTTAATAATTGACCCATAGTAAATTTAATCATGAAAATAGTTGAATTCTTTAATTAAAGAAAGTAAGTCGACATTCATATGTTATGCTAGAATGAGGGAGGAGTTGATTTTGGAGTTTTTAATTTCTAATTGTTACTTGTAATCAGAGGTTTGGAATCAGAGTCTTAAGCTGGTAAAATTTCTTACTGACTGATCCTTGCTCAAATTTAAAAAAATTAAGGGATAAGAAATAAAAATGCTAAAAGTATAACTTGAACTTTTTAATTTTAAATTTAATTTATTAAAATTGATGTCCTATTATTCTACAGTCTACAGCTACCACTCTTCTACAACTATGTTACCACACTGGCCCCACCATTCCATCAGTTATGTTGCCCCAGTCAACTACATCTTTGTTGCTCTTCAACTCTTTTATCTGTTGTTATGTATTAAGATTTCACAAAATATTTAATGATGCCATTCTACAGCCTTCATCAAAGTTGGTTTTTCTTTCTGGTCTGAGACAAGACTTAACTTTCACTGGAGAAGACTAAACTTTCGCTGGAGAGATCAAAGATGGTGAAGGTGGAGAGCAGCTCCCTCATATTAGAGAATGAACAGCAACAACAGTGGTACGAGAAATGTCTTGATGAGATAGACAATCAGGTGGTCCAGGCCTTGTTAGCTCACAAGGTAGCTATCTTAAAAAATGGGGGTTTCTGTACCTCATATGTAGCTCTACTTTTCATTTTAAGTTTAATACATTCAATAAAATATATAATCTATTTATTGCTTATAATATCAATATATAATTTTTCATTAAATATTCAATTTTAATTTTTCATTTAATAGATATTATTATTATTTTTTTAAGGTGGTTTTATATAGCCCAGTACCCCAGCCTAGGGCTAGGCTCACTGCGCTTCACATAAAAATTAGCAATTACAGAAAATTGTACATTTAAAATTAAATTTAAAGCAACAATTGGTAAAAAGCTTAACCTCACCCAATCAAATACCATCTACCCCTGTCCAGCAGCACCGAGCGTTGTTTATCAGTTGGGGGGGGGGGGGGGGGGTGAGAATGAGTCGGTATAGTAGAGTTTGAAGAGATGGGTCTTGAGGGCAGTTTTGAAGGTTGGGATGGTCGGTGTATTGCAGATGTGTAATGGGAGAGAATTCCATTGCTTGGGGGCACAGAAAGAGAAAGATTATTCACCATATGTTTTAGTGCATGTTCTGGGACAGAAAGAATATGCTAGTCTGCGGAGGAATGAAGCTTTCGAAGGGCTGAATAGGCAAAAAGAAGTTCAGTGAGATAGGAAGGGTAGGAACCAGAGAAAAATTTGTGACAGAGAACAGACAGCTTGTATAAAACTTAATAAGCACTGTACTTTTTTTATTCAAGATATGATTGACATTTCATGACTACATATTTAAGGAAATGTATTTAAGCCATTCTTGCCTAATTTGCCCTCCTGCATAAGCAATGGGGCATAACTCAATTTTAAATGTAAATGTTATTTTAAAAAAAGAAAGAAACTATAAATTAAGCTATGTCATTGTTACTGTATTTAAATTTTTATTAAATATGAAAATCAGGATAACAAATAAGATCATTAAGAGAAATCCTTTCAATTATAAAATCTGAAGCTGACTATCACATATTGAACACAAACATGCATGCTGTATTGTGCACTTTTAGCTGTCTAGTGCACTTTTGGGGAATTTTATTTTCAAACTATTGAATGAGGATTACACTTCTACTTCAGCTTCTTCGACTCTTCTTTGCATACATGGAGAGATTGTATTTGAACTATTTGCCAATGCCAAGACTTATTTTTGTCTTTCTTGTTTTAATTTAAAATATTTTAATTGTTGTCAAAAATATGTTTATCTTTTTATTTTGTTCTCATAGTTAATACAAGAAGAAGCTATGCTTGCAAGTCAGGCCTATATGTATAGATTGCTTACATATCTGAAGTGGACTCTGGTCTGAAGTGGACTCTTGTCAGAAGTATACTCTAATCTTGATAATGGACCAGGATATACCATGTTAGTTCATCTTAAACTTTTAATATATTTAAATAGAAAAGGTTATATATATTTATATATGTTCTAGATTCAACTATAGAATAAACTTTAAGGCCTGATTTTGGGTTAGCGGTAAGGCCGACGATGTGTTCCACGGTATCTAAGTCACGGAGGTTCCCCTAGGTCTACTTGCGTCTACAGTGCTGTCTATACTAAAAAGATTTCGATGTTTGTATTCACGTAATGAAAGTTTTTGTTTTCTTATTTTATATTTTTTTAAATTGGTGGGTTTTTTTTAAGGGGGGGGGGGGGGGGGTCAAAAGGCCCCACCCCAGTCCCTAGAAGATCATTCCAAATTCAATTTAAGCAGTAGTCTCCCTTTTGTTACCGAAGTTTCAACATACGGGTATTTTAATTTCAACTAATCAAAATACAGCAATTTTTGCGCACCTCTGTTTTTTTTACACCGGTGTTGGGTCTTGGGGTATCAGCAAGGGCTAGCAAGGATGTGTATATTTTTTCCTTTCTTTTGAAACGTGTAAGTTGAATTTTAATACAAATTAATGGAAAATTTCATTTTAATATACTTCATATCAACCACTTCGTTTATGATGCAAGTAATGCTAAAAAAAGAACAGGAATTTTATAACACACATCGTTCGGTTCCTACAATGAATAAGTCTATTCACCCCAAGTCCAGTGTTGGGATTCCACAAAGTGACGTCACTGCGCTTAGGTTGAGAAAACTCTTTGCAAAACCCATACGGTTAACCCAAAATTTACTAACTTTAAGAGTACCGGTACAAGCTACCCAAATGGGGTGACCCAGCACCAGCCACTGTTAGATCCAAGAATGTATCAACCAGCACTAACCATTGTTATCAACAGATAAAATAACTCACCAGCTGATGTTTAAAGTGAATATAAATCTTTAATTAAAATACATTATTTACACTTTAAAAAGAAACCAACAAATTTCAAGTGTGGGAAAAAAAAAAAGTTATACATTAAGGCTCTATCCACATTTTTTCATGCAGACTTCCATCTTAAATTGTTTGCTGTGCTACTTATAGAATTTCATAATAGTAAAATAAATAATACAAAATTAAGTTATAAACAGGCTAAACATATGTTACTGTATTGAATAATATGATCTAAAATATAATTTTTTTAAAGCCTGGAGCGTGTCAAAATCAGAAAGACCAAGTATCTGATCTTTGGAGGGACTGAATGGATTCTGAGGGACTAAGTACATGATCATTGGAGGGACTGACTGGATTCTGAGGGACTAAGTACATGATCATTGGAGGGACTGACTGGATTCTGAGGGACTAAGTACATGATCATTGGAGGGACTCATTGGGTTCTCAGGGACCAGTACATCTTGGAGTCAAGATTAGGAGCTCATTTAAACCAAATATTTCATTCATGACATTTGAAAGTGATATATATATATTTAGGTATGATTACTGCACTAATTCAGTGGTCAGGACACCCAGGGGGGCGTGTAAAAAAAAGCAACAACAGAAATTTGAGTGGTTTTTAAAATGTTATTCTTTATCTTATATGTAACAGTAACACCTTTTCATTGAAATTGAAAAATGAATGGAAGGCTGAAACAACTTTACAAATGTAATCAAGGGGTTGTTGCGATAAAAAGGTTGAGAACCTCCGCACTAATTAATAATGTATGAAACTACTGGAATGTTTTAAAAATTGTAATCCTCTTATGCAAATCACATCACTTTTCATAACTGTGGAGCAAGTATGCCATCTGTAAAATCTATCCGCCCTTTAGTCTGATAAGATGATTATAATGACTTGAGTGACACTCTTACACTGGTCAAGGATTGCTACTCTAGTCGATTGACAGCCTTTTAGGAAGCTTTAAACAGGGTCAGTTTTTTTTTTTTTCCACAGTTACCTCTCTTTTTATATTGTACCACCTCTTTTTGGGTCTTCATAGATTTGTGTTCCATTTTCTGTCCATCTTAGGGCTGTCCTGGGATATGTTTATGTTCTGACCATCAAATAGATGTCCTGGGATATGTTCCATGTTCTGTCCATCTTATTACTTCCCTGGGATATGTTCCAAGTTCTGTATATCTTAGTGTTGTCCTAGGAAGTGAGCTTGCTGGTATTCTATGGATATATCAGCTTTTAATTTTTACCACATTGGTTGTTACTCTTGACTGGGAATTCAGTTCTTCAATGCATTGTCTTTGGTCAGATATGTTCTATGTGAGCTTCGTAGGCATTTGGTCAGTTCTAGCTTTCATTTTAATGTGCTAGTGGCGTGCCAGCTTAGAGGAGGGTCAAGATATTGTCACTGTCACAATTGTCACCTATTGTGACTTCACTTTCTAGGTTCCGGTACTTAAATTCTGTAACATCTTTGAGGGGTTGTTGTTCAGTGATTGTGTTCTCCAATTGTATTTATTTCCTTATGACCTGTATTTTCCTGCTTTTTTCTTTCATCCTGTATGGTCATAAAAAACGCACTCTGTTATAGCAGTTTTAGCTATTCTACATGCATAGTCATAAAAACATGACCTATAAATATAAACTGTGTTTGAAATATTAAACCCAATAAAATCAAAGCATACGAGGCAAACTATCCAAAAGGCGGATTAAAAATAAATTCAAACTTTTCATGGATTCCCACCAGTGGATTAGGGGTGTGGGTGGACACTTGCTTTGTCTTGACCACGTGCATTGTGTTGTTGACTTGTATTGTACACTTGCATTTTGTTGTACACATGCATTTTGAAACCTCAATCTTTGAGGGAAACTGAAAATGATAAAAAGTCATTTAAGGAAAATTTAAAGACTTTTTCATTCAATAGATTTTAGGAAATTGGAGTGCTGTGAGCGTGCTAAAAATAGCATGGACGCAAGTGCTATAAAAGTATTCGATCATCATCACCAACATCGTGTTGTCCGCTTGCCTTGTATTGTCCGCTGCATTTTTATTCACAGGAATCGGTTTACAGAATAATGTTGTTTTATGATTAAAATGTGCAGAAAAAAGTGAATAGAAGGCAAACTCATTTTCTCTTACTTACTATTCAATACATTTATGTGTGTATAATACATTTCTAAGTAGAAAGAAATATCAAAATATGTATTTTTGCAATTGATGGTTTCATATTTTTCTAAATAGTTTTAAATTGTTAGCTCAGGTCCATGTGGCAAAAATAATTTCATGTGTATTTACCAAGTTAACATGTTTGATTGTATGTGATTTATTACATTTAACATGTTTGATTGTATGTGATTTATTACATTTAACATGTTTGATTGTATGTGATTTATTACATTTAACATGTTTGATTGTATGATTTATTTCATTTAACATGTTTGATTGTATGTGATTTCTATCATTTAGAATGTAGGTGTGTAACTTAGTCAAGTGTAACTGTACACATAATTTTTTTGTTTATTTGTATTGATTGTGGTCAGTGATATAAAAGAAAACTCCAAAACGAAATCCATATTTTCTAATGGGCCACCAATAATGCCACTAGTGCATGCTCACTCTGACGTGCTCATATTATGTGTTTATTTTATTCCCTGCTTGGTCACACTCCAGTTTCTTTGTGTTGTGTTCAATTTCTCATCTCATCTAGTCCTATTGTATTGTATATATTTTAATTGTTC